AAATCTGAAGGGCAAAGGCCTGCACCCCGTGAGGTTGAGGCTAAAAAAGAAGAGCTGGAGGAGATGGCCCTAGAATGCTGGAGAGGACGCTTGGCCGTTAGTCAAGTCGGGCGTCGCACTGTGCAGGCACTTCTGCCTGTCCTAGCGGAGTGGCTGCGACGTCGGCATGGTCGTCTAACCTACCGGATGACCCAGCTACTGACAGGCCACGGGTGTTTCGGGGCCTTCCTTCACAGAATAGGCCGAGAAGAGGTACCAGGCTGCCATCACTGCAACCTTGACACTGTGGATACAGCTGAGCACACGCTCCAAGAATGCCCAGCTTGGGCGGATGAGCGTGCGGCCCTCAATATATGTATAGGAAATGACCTCTCTCTACCGGTCTTAGTCCACCATATGACCAACGGAGAGGAGGCGTGGCGTGGAGTTCTCACCTTCTGTGAAGCAGTCATTTCACAGAAGGAAGCGGCGGAGAGGGAGCGGGAAGCATCACCCGACGCACCCATTGCCCGCCGCCGACGTCATGGGCAAAGAAGGAGGCTCTATGACCTCCATCTGCCCCTTCCTAATAGGCCTCGGCCATCAGATACGGGGGTGTCTGGTGGCGTCTAAAGAGGCCGCGACGGCGCAGCACGTGTCCTGCGTGCCGCTCGCAGTAGGTTGAAGGCGTAATAACGCCTTGGTTGGGCTGGGCTTGGTTTAAGCGAGTGAAATGCCGAGCAGGGAACGCGGACGAATGCTTGAGGCAAATGCCGATAGTGATAGCCCGCGTCCCGACTCATACGAGTATGGCTACCGAGGGCAACGTCAGGTTTTTAGTGGGTAGGCCCTGCCCTTCTGGCAGGGAGAACCCCACATAACCCACTAACCGCCCCCGCGGCCGGTGGGTATACAAATCAATGTATATTCCTGACGAAAAAAAAAAAAAAAAAAAAAAAGCTTACAAATAATGCCTCAGGAAAGATACGATCGTTTAAGTGGAAAGTTATTAACACTGATAAATCAGTCAAGTGCGAGTCGTATTCTCGCATAGATTCCATGCTCTTTTTACCCGACTGCGCCAGAAGGTGGGTTATGTTTTTCATCTCTTACCTTCATTATAACTAGCTTTCCGCCCGCGGCTTCACCCGCGTGGAATTTTGTCTGTCACAGAAAAACTTTATCACGCGGGTCCCTGTTTCAAAAACCGGGATAAAAACTATTTCTATGACAAATTTCATCAAAATCGGTTCAGTGGTTCACGCCTAAGCGTGAAAGCAAGACAGATAGACAGGCAGACAGAGTTACTTTCGCATTTATAATACCTATTAGTATAGATTCTTGATATATTGTAAGTATCACAAAACACATACAAAAGGTAATTATAAAAGCAAGAAAGGTCGTTGTAGAAAACCTTAGGGAGGCCTTTTCCAGCAGGAAATTATTATTTTATAGAATCAAATTTTCTTTATGTTGGTACTTACCGAAAAATTGACATCTTATTACACAGCACAAATTACGTAATATGCCACGCCTTTGACACCAAACGTGCCTTCGCGTCTGCTTCGTGACAGCGAACTTAGCACCCACTCAAAATAAACTAGGTATTTACTAGGATGTCATGTAAATTAGAGGATTTATTTGGTATCAATTTGTTGATTGTCAACTGATGATCATAATCATTGGTGATGAATAAATCACGACGTTTCAATTTTATTTTGGAACGGTTTCTTTGGAACGTATGAACTTCTTTGATATACATATTTATTACTAAGCAGTTGGTCCTTCTTTAAGCAGGTTAAGAAAACAGAAGAAAAATAGGTACCTATGCTATAATTATGGCCAACATTCGTGGTGTAATGTGTAGCAAACTTGATGCAATTTGTGTGGTTATATGCAAGATACGTTTTCTGGGAAATTGTTATATTACTACTGTACCTTTTCGCTGCAATTCTGAAATGCAGTACTAGAAATTGGGAATGGTACTATAATTTGAAATATCATATTGTCTTTTAAAGTCGACAGTAGGTAGTCTTTATGACGTAAGTTTTACAAATGTAAATATGTAGCATTGAGAGATTTCTTAAATAGCCGCGATCGTTCTAAAATAAGTCGATTATTTGATTCCCGAGAAGTCGTTGAAGAAGATCTACTTAATGAATGGCAAAAAAGATGGGATACGTCAGTCAAAGGACGTCACTTATATAAATTCTTCCCGAATGTACGCGAACGTCTAACTAGGCGATGGTTAGAAATCGACCATTGCTCGTCGCAGTTCCTCACGGGACATGGCAACTTTAAACATAAACTTCACGAATTCAAACTAGTTCCGTCTCCTTTTTGCGAGTGTTCCACTGATGATGTCAGTCATGAGCAGTCTGCCCATCATATCTTGTGGGAGTGTGATCTTTGGAAACATGAACGTGATATAATGCTTAATTCAATACAACATACATCTGTTTCCGCAATTTATTACACCGATCTTGTCGCGACAAGGAAAAATTTCCGTGCTTTTAAGCGATTTTGTGAAAAATATTATTGGCAGGTAGTTGCTAATTACTCATAAGATAGGCCCCCTTAATTTAATTTATTGTCCGTGGTGCATAATCTTTTTCTTAAAGGGGTTTTAAACCTTTGTTTGTCACCTGTCATCCGCTTTGCAATGGAGGGAAGTCGAACCTTAATTTCGAACTCCTCCTATGTTCTTCTGATTAATTTCGTTGCGGGTCCAATGACAGTTTAACTTTCCCCCGGGACAAACTTGACCTTCATTGGTTGGGTTTTTGTGGCGGTCAAGCTGTAGATCCTGGCTACACAGGAGTTGCAGTGGTGGGAACGAGAGGTGGGAATAGTCCCGAAATGTAGCATTGAGAGGTAAATAAGTTTGAACCCGGTAATTTATCTAGGAAAGAACTAGCAATATGACATCTTCGTTCGTTCCTTTCAACTGACTCCCCACTGGACAAATAATTAAACCTAACCTAACCTGCCCACGGATGGAAAGTTGTAGAAACAACAGCCAGGTTCTTCGTTGTCCGCATCCAGGTGCTTCTCGCGATCTCAACTAAATCGTCGGTACATCGAGTGGGATGATACGCTTACTATTTCAGAATCACATAAGAGCTGGGGCCTAGCTACGAGTCATAAATAAGACGCGCTACATTAAAATTCTGAAAGATAAAGTTCTATGAATGCGGCAGCGCTAATAAAACATTTCAGCCAATTAACAGTTTTGAAAAACCCACTGCGCTTCAATAAAAAGCGAGGAAGCCGTAATTAAGAACATTTTACATTAGATTAATCCGACGCGAACACAAACAAAGCTGCATTCTGGAATCTTTTGCATAATTTTTGCATTCGTTTTAATTAAATCGCCACCAAAGGGAGTATTCTGCGCTATTTTATTCTGTTGCAGCAATGTGTTGATAATAAAAATTAAATGGTTCCATTAAAATTTCCAAGATAAGCGGAGATTTCACATTTTCTTATCGTCTACGAGCTGCCAGTATACAAACGCTTTACTTTGAGATAATTTTAAAGTACGTCGAGTATTTTAGTTATTTTAAACCTTTTCGCCGAGAAAGTGTTTTTAACTTTTTAGTTTCTTTAAAAAAGCAAAATGCTTATTGCAAGCGACTGGAGATGAAACTCAACGTTGCACGTTACCTGTATAACATAACCTCCGATAACATGAGCATGTAGCAAATTCAAACTTTTTGGACCTTAAGACAAGGGAATAAGATTATAAATATAACGGGACTATTCCCACCTCTCGTTCCCACCACTGCAACTCCTGTGTATCCAGGATCTACAGCTTGACCGCCACAAAAACCCAACCAATGAAGGTCAAGTTTGTCCCGGGGGAAAGTTAAACTGTCATTGGACCCGCAACGAAATTAATCAGAAGAACATAGGAGGAGTTCGAAATTAAGGTTCGACTTCCCTCCATTGCAAAGCGGATGACAGGTGACAAACAAAGGTTTAAAACCTTTATAAATATAGTAGGAGCTGGGTATATTCCAAACTGCCTTATTAAAGGTTCATACTCCTTTTGATGTCTGTCTCCGGCGTTGTGCTGACGTTATATCGAAACTAAACTTCGTCTCCTGTTTAAATTCGATTAATCTATCGCTCAGTTACTGTTAACCCTAGCAATTTTCTTTACTGATTTAACGTAACAGACAATCTTACTGGCTAAGATACTAGAGTTAGTAGCGACAAGATGCGTTAGTGTTTCTTTTAAATTAACACTGCCTTTCAGTCAAATCAATCTGCCTGAACAGTATGTTAGTCGAAACGTCTGATGATCGCGTGCTGGGTTACAAGTTTCAGTCCTGTTGTGGAGAAGTTTTATTCAGCGATATGGTTCAATTCATTCATTCATCGGCCGTTTGGTGTAGTGGTTCGAAACGGACTACTATTCCGGAGGTAGCGGGTTCGATTCCCGCACAGTACAAACATTTGTGTGCATGAACATATTTGTTTGTATTGGACTAGGTGTTTTCTATGTATAATAAGTATGTATTTACAAAAAAAAAAGTATTTAAGTATGTTTATATCCGTTGTCTAGTACCCATAGTACAAGCTTTGCTTAGTTTGGGACTAGAAGCGCAGTGTAAAATGTCTAAGGATATTTATATTTATATTTATTTTATATTCAACTCTTCCCCTGTATATGACAGAAGATGATTTAGCAATAAATATGATAACTTCAGGCCTCCCCAACCCTTTGGCAAGCATGGAGAGTTGGAGAGTATAATTAAAATCCTCAATTTGCCTTGTAAATAGAAGATCATGATCAAGTTGAGACTAAAAATGACCTGATGATGAAGCCATGGCGCTGTTTGATAACTCATTCAATAAGACTCCAACGCAACCTGTGATAAAAATACCAGATACAATAATTAATTAACTCAAGGATGAATATCAACTAAATAAAATCAGGAAAACGAAACAACCTAGTAAACTTTTGAAATATATTTTAATTTGACTAACATAAACCATTCTGTTATTAGAAAAGTTAGAGTTAACAATTCTAACTAATTTACAACTTTAATTTTCAACCTAGTTGCCTGCAGTCTAGAAAAGCCAGCCATTTTAACTGGCTGGGACTAACTGATATTTGTTTTTGGTAGTAAAATTTCCATATTAGATGAAATGGAAATTGAATAAATGAATTGCGATAAGGCGTGCATGATAGTACCAAGATAAAGTTGTTTTAACTTTATTGCAGCTCTCAATTTTATGGGTGGATGCAAGTGTAATAGCTATATAAGTCGTTCTTATAAATCAGCACTAAATATAAGTTCAATGACTTTCAATAACAATAATAAAAAATAAAAAAACTAAGGACCGAAAATACTAATATTGTTTCTAATAAGCAGAAAAGTGTCTACACTATTGTTGTAGTTATTCCAAGTTATTCATAACAATAAATATAATTATTTTAAAATAATGAACGATTCTGAAAATTCCACCCGTGAAAACATTATGTAGGTATTTGTCTATGCCATAGGCATCTTCTAGGAACTGAGATTACATAGGTTTCCAAAGGATAACGAAAATCTCAGTATTTCTTTGAAAATTAAGATTCACGAGACAAAAGATAAATCCCAACTATATTAATATTATAA